AACCGCAAAACCTGCAGAAAAGCGCGTGGCCTAATACCAGCGTGTGTGGCCCTATGTACCCTAAACTCCCCACCTGTAGTTTCCTTTAAATAGTCCCCCTCAACCCTAAACCCCAAACCGTTGAGCAGCCTGGCCTAGGAATCCCGAAGCGGCAAGACTTTGATCGTTAGACCGACTATGCTTGGAACGAGCTCTATAGCTACATTTTTTTCATTGTTCGTGGCTCACCTTAGTTTTATGGTCATCCCCTTTGACAACCTTCTGCTTGGCTGGGTCATCTTTTCTGTCCTCTTCCTTGCTCTTGGGCACTTTGCCGCCCGCTCCTTGCGGAGTTACTTTGCAGCTGTGGAGAGCATCCGAGTGGCGGAGTTAGTAAGCTGTTTTAAACTATTTTGGCCGCCCTAAACCCGTAAACCCGAAACCAATATGTTTGGCGCATATAGCCCCCTTTTCGAAGCTGGAAGTTTAGTGGTTTGATATACTCCGCGACTAAGACATGCTTGTCCAGCTGCGCAACTTTCGCATCCGAGACGCCCAGTGCGCATGCTGCATGGTGGGTCACAAAGAAGATGGCTCCAATCCAATTTGTGACCGTGAAATTATCTGCCTTTGCATTCGCAAGTGGTTCGGCACCGAGTCTGCTTTCGAGAAGTTGGTCGCTACCGACATGTCCGTCGCTTTGGCCAGAGCCCTCGGCGATTCGTCCTTCTCCTACTGGTGGCTCTTGATGGTCTCGGCTCCGTTTTATTGGGGTTATATGGACCAGGTGGCTGCTCGATTACGCGTAGGGGACCTGGAGGACGCAGCTGTAACGGCCATCGTCACCTTGACTTTCTCATTCCTGGCCTTCCCTTTCATAGGACGTCTCGGGATTATCCTGGCGTGCAAGGCTCGGCGCCAACGGCAGCAACTCTGGGCAAACGAGCTCGTGACCTTTGCAGTGTTCATTGCTGGCTTTCCGGTCGCGGGGGCCATTCTTACCATGCCCCGCGGTTGCACGATGGGCATTGTAGGATGTTTATGTTGAAATTGACCTGCGTTATTCAACAGACTCGTCGAGGCTTAAGCCCTGTAGTCGAAGTGTTGAGAATTGCAGGCAGACTCTGCTACTGCGAGTTATGAACCCGCTTGCTGGAGCGAGCATGTTTGCTGCCATCAACCTGATCTTGCTGCTGGTTCTTCTGCGACAATGCTCACGGATGTCACTTCTCTCGCCGGATGCACAGTAGATCTCCCCAGCGTAATCGCTGCGGGTTCCGTTTTTCTGCAGTGCTCCTCGAGGCTGGTGGTTTTAACAGGTTGTACAGCGGTAGACAGCGACTTCGCTGGAGTCGCTGCAGTTCCGTCCCCCGGCACAAATGGTCCACCCAATCGTTTGGGCGTCAGGGCCCCTACCCTTCCCAAAGTCCGACCCCTCCCCACCCTCTTGCAGTCTTGCAGCGGCTGGGATGTGATTTATAGGCCTGTGGTTTATCTCTAGGCACTCGCCGCGGTCCAGCTGCACTGAAACGTACATAGCGCTCAAGAACTACGCCCGAGAAGCCCCGAAACGCCACAAGCACCGAACCTGGCCCGGAATCCCTAATATAGGGGCCTTAAGAATTACCTATACTGTTTTGGGGGTTCCTTGTTATAAGTATAGTAGAACATATTATGGCCCCTATACTATGTCGGCCGGGGTGTCAAGTTAGCTAGGGCGGAGGTTTTGGGTTTAGGAAAGCCCCAACACAAACCCTTTGGCTTAGGGATGCCCAATCCCTGAACAAATCGCAGCCTCATAGGTCATTTTAGAACAATAGATGTGTTTATTCATAACCCTAAACCCTAAACCCCAAACCTCTAAATAAAACCCAAAGTCATCATCCAACGCGGCACAGGCGGCGTCCGAGGCAAAAGTGCCACTCGAGGTCTGGCTGTTGCATCACTTGATCCTACTTGTAGGATCATGAGACTTAGTAAGTAAGGTTATAAGTCCCCTAATTGGGGTTATAATTATAGTTACCTAGTTATGACCCTATTTACTAAGTCCCATCATCCTTTAAGTAGAACGATACCTTAGAGTACTGTTAGGATGCTAATGCGATTTACAAAGGCTTTGTTGATGGTTTCATAAGTGTTGTATTTGTGCAGGCGCTTTCGAATTGTGTGTGTGTGTGTGCGTGTGTGTGTGTATATATATATATATATATGTGTAGGGCTCACAAAACAGTACCATGGGAAAGTCGCAGCTCAGTCGACCCAGGAATTAACCTTCGGTTTTCAAGTCACTAGTTGGTTACTCCCATTCATTTAGTAAATCTAGAACCCTTACGGAGAATGTTTGTGGGCGCTGTCGGTGGTGATGATGATGGTGATGATGATGATGATGGTGATGGTGATGCTAATGCTGATGATGATGATGAAGATGTTGATGATGATGATGATGATGATCATGATGATGATGGTGTTGGTGATGATGATGGTGATGATGATGGTGATGATGGTGATGATGGGAATGTCCATGTAAGTCAGCCTTGCAACAAGAAATAACAGATTTGCCAAATCGATTGTTCGGTTGGCTGCATTTGCAGCCGTCCCGTCTGCAACCTTGAAGTTCTTCGTACGACAGCCATTACTTTCGGTTGATGCTTCCGGCTTGCGCTTTAAGCTTGCGTTTCTTGGGCATACCTAAACCCCCCAAAGTAGGCAAAACCAGGTCCCAAAATCTATCTATAAAGGGCCATTATTCTACATACTTTTGGGGTCCAGGTATACCAGGCTTTGGCTCTTCAGATACAAAACTTCGTGGCGCCAGGAGCCGGAACCCGAAATTAGGATGGCTCCAGGCTGTGGGATCTTACCTTGAAATTTAGGGTTTAGAGTTTTAGGCTAACAAAGGTGAAACTTGTCCACGACCCTGCTTATAGAAACTTCTGGAGCCCCGATATCATGCTATATGCGTGTCTTTTGGGCCATGTTCAATGTTCAGCCTTAGGGTTAAAAGACTACAACTCTCTCTCCTGCTCCTTGGGAGAAAGTTCCCCCTATAATGGAACAACTTCAGGGCCTCCGTGAGTGGCTGCAGAGTGGTGAAGGGACTTTCCAGATCCAGCAGAAGTATGCAGAGATTTTCTATGGTGGCTCGTCGTGAAATAATCGAGATGTTTTGTTTTTCCTTTATGTTCAAAACAACATTCATTACACCCCGAGTCTTCCCTAAATCCCGGAACCCTAGACCCTTAAACCCTTAAGCCCGAAACCCCAAAGCCTTAAGCTATCCCTAAACAAAAAATCCAGATGTCAGTATTCGTGCAGAGAGGTTCACGGCGTTGAAGGTTTCGGGGTTATCCTGGGGTTTAGGGTTTTGGGCTTAGGGTTTGGGGTTTGGGGCTTCTGAACCCTAAACCCTAAACCCTAAACCCTAAACCGCGTGTTTCGGCCTTTCGGCTTGCGGTGTCAAGTCCTGCAACCTACGCTTAACTTAAAGCCCTAGAAAGTCTGACGTAGCAGCACATAGGTACGGCTTAGGGCCTTTAGGGTTTGAGGTTTACGGCTTAGTTCCTAAACCCTAAACCCTAAACCCTGGGGTTTAGAGCTTTGAAGCCTGTTTTCGCTTTTAGGTTGGGGCTACACGTCCGTCCCGGTCACGCTGGTGAGCTGCGAGGGCCAGAGCCCCACTACCTTAAGTTTAGGGTTTAGGGTCCAGGGATTAGGGTTTAGGGTTTAGGGTGAAGGGTTTAGGGATTAGGGTTTAGGGTTTAGGGTTTCTGGCTTGGGTGATGGACTACAGGATGGGCTTTGGCGTTTAGTGTTGGGGGCATTTGTGATTTGGGGTTCTTAGTTTCTTGTGTTTTAAATGCTTTTGGGGCTTCGTTCGGGTTTAGGTGCCAGCTGAATATGCCTCGATGAGGCTTTGCAGTGCTTGCATCCTTGCCTTGCAATTGCCAGGGCTGTTAGTACTGTTTATTCCTCCGCAACTCTTGCTCTCGTTTGTTGCTCTGTCTCGAATGACCCTAAAACCCCAAAGCCCTAAAAGCCAGAACCTTATAGAACCGTCACGGGAAGCCTTATAATGGCACCCATCAAAGGAATCCCCTAAACCCTAGACCCCCCGAAACCCCTAAAGCCCCAGAAACCCCCAGACCCGAATGATTGGGGGCCTTGGGAGATTTCGGGGAAGAGGCGCCTCTTCATGCTCCCTGGGTATGGGACATAAGAGCTCATTGGGTCAGAGCTCTAGGGGAGCGTTGCTTGAAAGGCCTCATAAAAACCCTAAACCCTAAACTCCTAGCCCCTAAAGCCTTAAACCATCAAAAAGCCTAGGCGTTTGGGGTTCAGGCTTTAAAGGTTTAGGAGGCTTTGGGTTTTAGAGGTCCAAGTGTAGGGGCTCGAAGCATCTGGGTCTAGAAGTTTAGGGTTTAAGGGGATTAGGGCTCAGGGTTTAGGG